TTAAGGATTTGAGTTTGCGGTTAAGTGACATGGCTCTCTTACTGAAGCACTTGTTAATTGTTATAGCCCAGAGACAGTAGTGTAATTAGTGTGGTAGTCCTCCCAAAGAGAAAAGAGAAACATACAGTGTATCATTGTAATCTTATTGCTAGTTCTATTTACCTTAATTGTTCCCTCGTCAATGAGTTTTTTGCATTCATTTGTGGGTTCCTTTGCATTTTTCATTGAATAAAAATCGAACATTATAATGCATAAGATTGTGGAATGTGGGATGTTGGGATTATTCTTTTTAAGGTGGTCGGTCACACACTCAGATATGTATGAGAAGCATCCATCATTTTTGTGGCTATGTGATCACAAATATTTGAGATGAGAAATTTTCAACTTTAAAGTTTCACTTTGAATTTGAATATGAATGCATTTATAGAGAAGTGGAAGCAGACAGAAATAGAGATTATGATAATGAAGGATATATGTTATCCACACAATATATATGATGAGAAGGGAAAACCAATTTTGGTGTTCCTTTAGTGCTTATTTCCACATAATGCAGCATTTTTCTTGGAGGGTCTGAAAGTCAAAGCACTGAGGCTGTAGATGCAGGTGTTGGCACTTCTGGATTTGACTGTGACTTCCTGAGTTGTGGTTATTGAGGCAGGAACACTGCAGGCTGAGGATGAGGAGTGCAGCAGGCTTGCCCGGCATGAATTCCCGATTTCGTTCTCTCTGGCGCACTCGATCCCATCCACTGAAGGTATCACCAACCTGTAAATACCAAACCTGTTTGTAGTCCTGTTCACTGAGAATTCTATTTGCTCTGCTGTTTTTGGTGAACTTGCTTTGAATGTGCAGTCGATTTTCACTTCCACACCTATTGAACAGTAGTAGGACAAATATTGCAACCCAATAATTATTAGTATATACAACTCTCACAAGATCTATGCTATGCTATGCAAGTACTTGTGAATCTTGCTATCACTTGTTGTATTTAATCTTTCATTTCAACTGATGCTAATTGCAACTTACAGAGCAGAAAGTTTTCAGGGAACAAAGGAATAGAGAGAGAGATTATAGATACCTGGCATGAAGTAGCTGTGCCTGGAGAAGGAATTATTGGAGCAGATGTCACAGTAAACCATTCCCATGACAGTGATCTGGGGATCAGGGATATGGGCTAGTCTTGGACCTCTTGGTGGTGGTGCCACAACATGAAGAGGGAGTGAGGACAGAGTGAAGAAGAAGAAGAAGAAGAAGAAGCAGCAAAAAAACAAGAAAACAGGAGGAGGTGAAGTCATTGCAGAAAAACTCCAAGAAGAGTGAGTTTGAGTTTGAGTTTTGGTTTGAGGCTAGGAAAGGATGGAGTGGGTAAGATTGTAGTGTGGCTGAGAAGCAAGGCAAAGTGTGAGTATAGGGATAATGGTGAAAGAATGCCAACTGGGTAAAAGTGAGGCACCTGCACTGCACTGCCAAATCTACTTGCTTAGCTAGTAGAGTTGGGAAACACAAGGCCAAACTATTCTCTCTCTTTCTCTCTCTCAGTACCACAGACAAACTAAAAGATGCATGTGAACTTTGTTTGGCAGATTGTGTAGTGGATGTGTAGGAGAGAGGACACAATTTTCCTTTTTCTTGCCTCTCCTAACCTAAGCCGCCTCATATATAAATATACACAACCTTAGCTTGTCCCAACTATCACTCCTGCAACCCAACCCTGTTAATTCAACCTACCCAACTCTTCAACTTTTCAATTATTATTATTATTAATGCATACCCCGAGTAGGGTACTCAGTCAGGAGTATACCTTGGTGGTCGGGGCTCACAGTTTGATCACGTTACCCAGAAGACGGGAGGAGTCCAGTAGCTTGGCCCCGTGCCGAGGCGTATGATTCGCGTGGTAGGCACGGTTGGACGACTATCGAAGGCAATTGGCTGGAATTCTTGGTCGGTTGCTGCACTTAGATGCGGTTAGAGAGGATCTTCTGAAGATTTCTCTAGATTTGGCGTGGGATTTCATTTTCATTTTTCAATATTAGGAAAGAGGCAAGGCGGTTTGGAAGCTTTCCTAAGTCCTAATTTGTTAATTCCTTCCTTCTTTCATTTCCAAGGCACATAGAGCTTGTATAAATGTTCCCTTGGAGCACATTATAACGGTGTTCTGAATTCAATTTTAGTGTAATTACTCTGCCAACTTTCTCTTTTAATTTCTCCGGCCTTTTGATTTTACAATTGTGTTGACCCGCCATCTGGCTACCCTGTAGCCGTAAAACCAACAATTATTATTATTATTTTCTCTTTTCTTATTGATCTTAAAGCTCACCTAAAAGTTTATCACCATATTTGTTGGAAAATCCCTAAACTTAATATACACTTGTGAAGATTTAATTTGTCGGGTTAAGTTCAAGATACCCCATTATTATATCAAGGGAAAAATGTGGGGAAGGAGGATTAATTGAATGGAGCTTGAGTAGTCATGTGAGGAGGATAATATGAGGGCAGTGATATGATGATAACATTTATTATGCATGGGCTATGGCCTATGGAGCTTTAACTTTGGGTTGCCATTTGGGTGGCATTGCATGACCACTCCTCTGCTTGCTGACTTGTGTTCATCCATTTTGAGTGAAAAGTTTTAATCACTCTGCACTTCACGAGACTTGTTTTGAATTGGAGGTGAGGTGGGTCTCAACTTTATCTCAACATTAATTGAATTTGCATTTCAGTTTGCATAACATTCAGATCCAGTTGGGTGGTCGAGAAAATTTGTGGTTAGATTAACTACATATGATCTAGTTGATTGGTCTTGGTCGAGAACATTCGGTGATTAAGGGGTGTTTAGAAAATAGTTGTTAGCTGATTGTGTTAGTGAGTTTCATTAGTTGATAATATTAGCTGATTGTAGAAAAATAAAATGACTTTCTCAAAAAACAGCTTTGAGTAGCTTTTTGAATTTTAATATTTTGGAACAATAAGTTATTACAAAAAATTAATTAATCAAACACATTCTTTAACGTATCAAACATGGCCTAAATCAATTAAAACCAATATCCAAATACAAGCTTAAATGAGGTTATAACCCCTTTAATTTTCCAAGAAAAGAAACAAAGCAGTTGTAATAATAATAATAATAAAATAAATAAAAATAAAAAAGATGGGTAGCAGAATAACATGTGATTTGTGGAAAAGTGCAAAGTTATGGTAGGTCAAGATTTTGACCTGGTCATCTTTAATTCTTTAACACTAATCCGTACTATTGCTTTATATGAAGTTGAAATTGTAATGATGATCTCAATAATGAGATTAGGCGCAATAGTTATGCCGTGCAACCGAATGTACCATGCGCATGGTGCATACGACGCAAAACGACGTCGTTTTGACTAAAAACGCGCGTCTCACTTAAAAAAGAAAAATTCAGGTTCGATTTTCGGCAATAGCATTATTGTGGATATATAGTTATGAATTTCTGGATATATAGTTATAAATTTGTGGATATATAGTTATGAATTTATGGATATTTAGTTCATTCATTGTGGATATTTAGTTCATTCATGGTAGATATTTACTTCATTCATTCACTGTGGATATATAGTTATGAATTTATGGATATATAGTTATGAATTTATGGATATTTAGTTCATTCATTGTGGATATTTAGTTCAATCATTGTGGATATTTAGTTCATTCATTGTGAATTTTTACTTCATTCATTCATTCATTCATTCATTGTGGATTTTTACTTCATTCATTCATTCATTCATTGTGGATTTTTACTTCATTTATTCACTGTGGATATATAGTTATAAATTTGTGGATATATAGTTATGAATTTCTGGATATATAGTTATGAATTTCTGGATATATAAAAATGCTATTGCCGGGAATCGAACCTGATTTCATCTTTAAGTGGGACGCGCGTTTTTTTAACCAAAACGGCGCCGTTTTGCAACCGTATGCACCTTGCAAGGTGCATTCGGTTGCACAGCATAATTTGCGGATTAGGCGGCGATGGGCTTAGTGTAATGGTTTTCTCACTTTTTAAGGGTTTACACAAGTTAAATCTCATTTTTTTTTTTAAATATTAGTTTGCGAATTAAACATAGAACAAGGCTCAACTGAAAAGATGTTGGCAATTATTAAACTTATGATTTCTTATATAAAAATCATACTTCACCTGTTCAGTTACATTTTTGAGTGCATTGTATTAATTATATTTGAATGTATATGTGGATAATAATTGTAATTATATTTATTGATTCAATAGATTACAATGACTGCATCTTTATCTATCTCTCTCTCTCTATATATATATAGAGATTACAATGACTGGACCTTTATATTTATTGATTCATGCATGCTAAGCCAAAAACAAAGGGTGATTGAATTGAATAGTGTAGTAATGAAAAGGGGTGAGTTGGAATAGCAATAGTTATTGCGTGAATTGTGGTCCACACAAATGTGTGGATCACGGTTCAAAAACGACGTCGTTTCACGTAAATTTTTTTTGGAATAAGGTTCAAATTAGACACTGAACGTAATCTAAAAATGCAATTAGGCCACTCAACGCAAAAAAAGTGCAATTAGGCCACCGAACACTCAAAAAATGTGCAATTAGGCCACTGAACACTCTAAATGTATGCAATTTCACCGGATAGTAGGTTACCATCAATTTTAGCATGTTACCTGCTTACGTGGCAACTGAGTTGTCATTTTTAATAAATTTTAATAATAAATTTTAGAGTTAATTCCATTTTTGGTCCTAGACTTATTAGGGTGTCGACAATTTTCATCCTCCATAATTAAAATTGCCATTTAGTAGCCACCGTTATTCAACGGTGAACACTTTTGCTCCTCTGTGAAATTCTCCGTCTCTTAGCCGTCTATGAGAAGGGCAAACACGTCTTTTTATATGGTCTTCTTCTCTTCCTTATATTTCTTCCTTCACTTGAGTGTATGTCGATAAACAGAACAGGGTTAGGGTTAGGGGATTCATTCTGAAATTCTCAATGGAAGGATCGAAGGTAGTACTCAGTCATTCTTCGAGTTCTTCAACAACGAGAAAGACTTATATGTATGGGGAATGGATTTCAACCGAAGTATGCGAATGTGGTCAAGAACTGAGTTTGAGAACATCATGGACAAATGACAACCCCGGTAGGAGGTACTGGGAATGCTCGGGATGTAAGGTTAGTACTGAAATTCGTAATTGGTTTTTTTTTTTTTTTTTTTTTTTTTTTTTTTTTTTTTTTTTTTGCTTTCAAATTTTGTTTTTGTTTTTGCAGAGTGACTTAAATTAATTTACTGGAATTTATAATTGTTTGTAGTGGTTTTGATTGCTATTGTTGCAAATTTTCAGGATGGATCTAGCTATACGTTTGTGAAGTGGTATGATCCTCCAATGTGCCCTAGGTCTAAGAGGATTATACCGGGGCTTCTGAAGAAAATTAACAAATGTGAAGAAGAAAAAGCAAAATTAAAATCAAAGCCTAGAAGTGTTCCAAGAGGGGAAGATGGTGATTTGAAAGATATGCGTAGGAGCAAAAGATGTAGTTCAATGAAGCTGCTTGTTGTATGTGGGCTTATTGTATTGTTAATTGCTTATTTTACAAGTGGTAATGGAAAAAATGAGAGGTTAGGTTTTAAGAATGAGGTGTATTTGCTCCCATAAGTGTCTTTGGCAGTGTTATGCAGTGTGTGTTTTGACATAAGGAGTGTTATGTTTTGCTTTTTTGTGTATGGCAGTGTTATGCATTGTAATGAATTTGACAATGGTAATTGTAATGAATTTGGTAATTGTAACTGTTATCACAATGGTAATTCTATGTGTTATGACAATGTTAATTGTTCATCTTTTAAGGAATGGTAACTGTTATGGCATTATTGCAATGTTACTTGTTCATCTTTTAAGGAATGTGGTAGTGGTAATTGTCCCAAAAAGTAGCAATTCTAAGGCATATCAAAGAACAGAAAATAAAAGAGATCCATGTTCAGAATATAGCCATACAAGGCATGTCATTCCAAATTGATTAAGTACATCAATGTAGCAAAAAACCAATCCAGATTCTGTCATAAGCTACATCCAAGTTTGAGTTACACAGTTGCCTACCAAAAACTAATTCCATAATTCCATAATATATGCATAGATACAAGCAGTTTCAGTTTCACAGTACCAAAACATAAGCTACATCCAAGTTTGAGTTTCACAGTAGCCTACCAAAAACTAAATCTAGAATATATGCATACATACAACCAATTTCAGTTTCACAGTACCAAAGCATCAGTCTAGAAGTCAAGTTTACTCAATGTTTAGAGGTGTGTCCGATGTGTTGGTGAACCTACACTTGAGAGTTGTTGTGGATCTTGTCCTCCTACGAACAGGTGTGTCAGAGGTATTCTTCATCTTCTTTGATTTTGATTTTAACCCTAATGTAGACCTGATTGGTGCCTGAGGTGGTATGCTTGGTGCTTGAGGTGGTATGCTTGGTGCCTGAGTCTGAGATGGTGCCAGAGCTGGTCTGCTGAGTGCTTGAGGTGGTATGCTTGGTGCCTGAGTCTGAGATGGTGTCAGAGCTGGTCTGCTGAGTGCTTGAGGTGGTATGCTTGGTGCCTGAGTCTGAGATGGTGCCAGAGCTGGCCTACTGAGTGTTTGAGGTGGCCTGATTGGTGCCTGGGTCATGCTTGATGCTTGAGGTCTTCTGATTGGTGCCTTAGGTCTTCTGATTGGTGCCAGAGGTGGTCTGACTGGTGCTTGAGGTGGTCTGACTGGTGCTTGAGGTGGCCTGACTGGTGCTTGAGGTGGTTGAGTCATGCTTGGTGCCTAAGATGGGGTGATTGGTTGCTGAGTCATCCCAAAGATACCTTCTGGCTGAGTAATAGAGATTTCTTCATGCTGAGTGCCAACCAAACCTGCCATAGGTGCATTGTGGTCAAACAAAGCTGCAAAATCTGCTGCTTCATTCCAGAAATCTATATTTTCTTCTATCAAACCTGAAGATGCTTGTGAGGAAGCACAAGGTTGAACTGGTGGGGCAGCAACATTTTTCTTCTTTCTGTTCCTTTTTTTCTTTGGAGCCAGCTACATAATCAGAGAAGAAAAATAAACATTACTGCAATGCTGGATCATCTGGGAATAATCAGAGAAGAAAAATAAACATTACTGCCAGCTACATAATCAGTCAACATTACCTTTCTTTGACTTGTAGTTGGATCATCTGGGCATGTCCTAGAGTTATGGCCTATTTTGTTGCATTTCTTGCAATGCTTAACAAGCAAACTTGGGTTAACATGTGTGCCATCTTTGGTCATTTCATCTCTGCCTCTCTTCCTCAACTTTCTTGGTCTTCCAGGCTTGCTATTGTACAGAGGTGGCAATGGTGGTTCTTGGTTTGAAATGGGCCATTCTTTAGGACCAGCCAGTGGCTTAATCCTTCCCCCATATGTATTCAAGTAGTTGGTAATAGAGTAGCAAGGGTCTACATAATGATGTATTGGACCATTACCATGTCTAATCCAAATGGCACACACAGCATGCTTACATGGTATCCCTGTTAAGTCCCACTTTCTACAGCTACAAGTACCCCTAAACAAATCCACAGAATGCTGCTCTATCCCCCCTAACACTGACATGCACCTTATCTCAAATAAGTTTTCATCTGCTTGATTCCCTAAACACCCATTGGCATCCTTCTCAATAGAATCTATCTTTTTCATAATGTTAGGACAGAAAGGACCTTTCCATTTCACAGGTTTCTGTTTATTTTCAAAGAACTTTGTCATCAATAATTTCCTAATAGTTTCTAGACAAGAAATCAGAGGTTGTTTCCTTGCATCTACTATAAGGGCATTGAAACTTTCAGAAATGTTGTTAACTAAGGCATCACTTCTAGCAAAGGGAGTGAAATGTGACCTTGACCATTCTGAAGGGTGTTTATCTCCTAGCCACTGATAAGCCTCTTCATCCAACTTCCTGATTTCTAACATAGCTTCTCTGAAGCTGTTAACTGTAGTTGCCTTGGCTGCTGTCCAGAGTGCATCCTTCATTGCTTTGCCTAGAAATCCTGCAAGCTTCATGTTCCCATGAAGATGCCTCACACAAAATCTATGTGAGGCATATGGAAACACTTCTTCAAAAGCTGGAAGAAGCCCTTTCTGTTTGTCTGCAACCAATTTAAAAAAACAAAACATATTATAGATAAGGAGAGTATAACAGATTACACTGGTATGAGATAAATGTTTATACCTGAGATAAATGTAAGCTGGTGTTCTGCTTCACGAGTGATTTCTAGGTCTGTTTTAATGAAATTCAAGAACCAGATCCATGAATCCTTGGTTTCTCCTTCAACAATGGCATAAGCCAGTGGGAAGATACTGTCATTCCCATCAATCCCAATAGCTGTTAATAATTGACCTCCAAATTTTGTTTTTAGATGACAACCATCAACTCCAATTAGCTTCCTACAGAACTTATATCCCTCCTTTTAAGCCTCCCAGCAGAAATACATCCTTAGAAACCTAGGTTTTCCATCATATAGTAAGTCACTTACCTTCACCTTGCATGTAGTGTTAGGGTTTGTTTTTTCAATCTCCAACTTGTAGCTCCATATTTTGTTGAAAAATTCAATAGCTTCACCTTCAATGACTTCCTTTGCCTTTTTCATAGATCTATAGGCTTGCTTGGTGGACAAATCAAACCCCTCATCTGCTTTAACCCTCTCTCTAAATTCTGCAGTGGTCCAGTTGCTGTTGCCACCAATCTCTTTCATCCATCTCTTTGCAATCCTAGTTGATTTAACCATGGTGTTCTCATAAACCCAACCACAGCCATCATGCAATTCATTATAACTGGCAATTCTCCATGACAAGGCATTTTTAACTTTCCAAAGATTAATTCTGAAAGGGCAACCAACTTGTTTACATCTAACATAGACCCTCTCTTTGTCATTCCTAATAAACTTCAATTCCTTACCATTGTTGAAACCATAATTGTGGACTGCATCTTTGAATTCTACCTTTGATGCAAATGTTAAACCAACACAGAATTTTGGGGTACGCATTTGAGTGGTAGACCTAAATTCTGGCCATTTCATTTTGCCTTCTTCATCACTGTCCTTACCACTATCTTCATCAGACAATTGTAGACCATGATCATTGTCTACAACCCTAGTACTGTCCCCATCACCAGGTTGTTCACTTTATCTTACCCCAGCAACAGGTTGTCCACTTTCTCTTACCCCATCAAACTCCACATTGTTATCAACATTGGCCTCAAACTCTAGGTCATCATTTCCCACTTCATCAGCACTGTTCTCAAAGTTATCTAAAAAATTCCCAGATTCTGAATCACTCTCACTTTCTACTGATGGTGCTTCATCATCACCTTCTACACCACCTACTACCCAAACCTCAATCTCTTTGGGAAACATTCCAACATCGCAAATAGCCCAACAATCGCTATCATTACTTATTTCAAATATGGTGTCACTACCAGTAGGGGTGAAATATTTAAAGGTGTCTAACATATTGTATCCCAACTCCTCAACTGTGTCCCTAAGAGTCATCATGCCCCACAAATCAATGTCTAAATGAAAACTATTAACAACCCCTCCAATATATCCAATTCCATGTGTCTTAAGACGACCACCATGTCTTAACTTCAGATTGAATTTAGATGTGTTACTTCCTCCATCTATGTAGCAATTTAAAACAGTTTACTAATTAAAAGTCAACAAAGCAACAAAACAGAGAAACAGACAAAGCATATTGTGGTCCCCTTTCAAAGAAAAAAAAAAGCTACTGCCCCATGTGGTCCCCATTTGAATACACAAACAAATGGAGATGTACTGCATTTATTAAAGTGAAACACCACCCACACCATTCAAAGCATATGTATATCAAACAACAAACAATCACTAACATGTATAGAATATTTAAAGCTAATGAAATTGCACTTTATCAGTTCATTATATACCCACAACTCACACTATATATACCAGCAACAAGCATAACAAATCAACCTATTTCATATTTTACCACACATTAACAAAACACATACGATTTTGCAACTATTATGTTCACTACATACACACAACACTCAAATTCACCTAGGGTTTCGCTATTATTCTCATACGTATACTTGTTGTCACCTCGTCTGACGCCTTCCATTGTGCTTGCTCCCTACGTCCTCGCCTTCGCATTCGCCTTCGAGAAGATTAGGGTTACTGTGGTCTTCGAGCTTCTGTTCGTCTAAGTTGTTTATTACAAGTAAATATCATTTGACTAATACGCTTAGAGAAGAAGACCAATTAAAAGACGTGTTTGCCCTTCTCATAGACGGCTAAGAGACGGACTATGTGACGGAGGATCAAAAGTGTCCACCGTTGAATAACGGTGGCTACTAAATGACAATTTTAATTATGGAGGATGAAAATTGTCTACACCCTAATAAGTCTAGGACCAAAAATGGCATTATCTCTAAATTTTAATAATAAATTCTAAAAAAATTGAAAAAATAAATAAAAATAAAATAAAAAAAATGCCGGCCACCCGTCATTTTTTTTTTTTAAATTTGTTATTAAAATTTATTACAAATTATTTAAAAATTATTAAAAAAGCTAACTCATCTGCCACGTAAGCAGGTAACCTGCTAAAATTGAGAGTAACCTGCTATCAGGTGAAATTGCATACATTTGGAGTGTTCAGTGGTCTAATTGCACTTTTTTTTTTTTTTTTTTTTTTTTTTTTTTTTTCGTTCAGTGGCCTAATTGCATTTTCATGTTACGTTCAGTGGCCAATTTGAACCTTATTCCTCTTTTTTTTTTTTTTTTTTTTTTTTTTTTTTTTTTTTTTTTTTCATAGGACTCATTGCAACATACATTTTATAACTCACAATGTACATTATTCTAAATTATAATATACATTATTCTAACTCATAAAATACATTATCTTACCCTAGAAGTTTCATTATTCTAACACATAAATTACATTACTCTATCATATAATGTACATTATTCTAACACATAAATTAAAGTACAGTATTCTAACTCATAATGTACATTATTCTAATTCATAAAATTCAACGACGTCGTTTTAGATCGTATACTAGTCCACACACAACTGTGTGGTCCATACAACCACGTGGACCAATAATTTGCCGTTGAAATAGTAAAGAGGACTAGTTATTATATGCATGCGAATATGCGATGCATTTATATGATAATGCGCCAATCATACAAGGCAACCCACAAAATGCTCACCCTCAACTCTTTTAATATTTGTTTGTTTGTTTGTTTGTTTTTTTTTAATAATCACGCTAGCTTCGTTATTTCGGTACCTACTACCTAGTTCTAATTTCAAGTTGTTATCAATTCTTGTTTAAAGAAAATTCTTCTAACGCTTATTATTTCCTTCAAAACATTTAAATAATTTAAAATAAAATCTAGCTTGTTTAATTTATTGGAATTAATCACACAATTACTTTCTTTTCAGGGCTACAACACTAAAAAAGAAAGTCATAAATTCAACACATACAATTTTAAAATATAATCTTGTTTAGTATAGTTGTTTTGAATGACAAGGAGTTATAACACAAAGATAATGCATGATTGGTTTAAATAAGAAAAATTGAAGTAGCTAGATTGGGGGTGACAGATGGAATCTAAGAATAGTTGAAGTATGTATGTCGTGGTGAAGTGACCTCTCTCCACAAACTATAAGAGCATTTTGTAATATATAAAAAAAAAGAGAGAAAAATAAAATTTGAAAAAGACAAACAAAAGAGGGCGGTTGTCAATTGACGACCAATTCAATTGC